TCGCCAAGATGTGGAAACAACCTAAGTGTCCATCAATGGACACTTTACCCATTTTATCCATTGATAAAGATGTTACACACACACATGTACACACACACATATAATAGAATATTATTCGGCCCTAAAAAGAAGGAAATCCTGCCATTTGTGACAACATAAACAACCCTTAGGGCATTATGGTAAATGTAATAGTTCAGAGAAAGACAAATACTATATGACCTCACTTACATGTGGAATCTAAAAAACAAAACAAAACAAAAAACCAAACTCATAGGTATAGAGAGTGGATTAGTGGTTGCCAGAGAGAGAGGCAGGGGATGGAAGTGAGCGAAATGGGTAAAGATGGTCAAAATGTACAAACTTCTAGTTATAAAATAAGTTCTGAGGATGTAAAGTACAGCCTGGTGCTTATGGTTAGTAATACTATAATGCCTATTTGAAAGTCTCCAGGAGAGTAAGTTTTAAAAGTTCTCATCATACAAAATAGGAAATTGTAACTATTCATGGTGATGGATATTAACCAGCCTTAAAATGATGATCCTCTTGCAATATATGCAAAATATACAAATATCAAATCATTATGTTGTACATCTGAAACTAATATAATGTTATAGGTCAATTATATCTCAATTTTTTAAAAGCACATATTTTACATGCTCTAGTGGGACTCATATAGAAATCTACAATAAATCTAAATGTAACATGAATAGGTTATATTGGCCTGTCCACACTGAAAATCACTTTCAACAGCTGTATAAATAGTTGGCATAAACAGAATTAATAAACAGAAAATTTGGGATTTTCTAGCTCTAATAATCCATATTTATATTTCTCAGTTTACCTAATTTTGGTCAGTCTTGCCATATATTTATTAATTGATTCTCCCTCTTTTTTTCTATTACTGCATTCCTTTTCCCCCACAGTTTTAAGACAATTGATGTTTTCTCAGCTTATGTCCTATTATCACATTACATCCCTCTTTCTCCACACCAGATCCAGTCACCTTAATTATACTTGTTTCTCCAGTGTTCCCAGACGTGGATCACATCATTTATATATCATTTATATGTGCATCATTTATGTATCACTGATGCATCCTCCCCACTGCATGAAAGTCTTCCTCAGGGCTGTGAATTTCACTTCTTCCTGCCTTCTAGGGGACCACAGCCATAATCCAGTGCCCTCTCTCCAGAAGCCTCTGCTCTCCTGTCTCCTCTCATCACCCTATCCTCTCTTGTACCCTAAAACCCAAACCCCTCTACTGACCCAGCATTCTCCTTCTTTTTCCTTTCAAAGGATAGCCTCTCTCATTGTCTTGGTTCTTCACCACTGCAGCTCAACTTACTGTATAAAAGTTTTTGTCCCCAAACACTCAAGATGTTATTTTAAAGTTGCTTAAATCCCTTAATTGCCAAATTCAATTTTCATGAATCCTTACCTTGTTTGATGCCTTGGTAGAACTTAATGTCTTGGATCTTTCCTTACTTGTTGGAATTCTTTCATCCCATTTTCCACCACATCTCCACAAATGCACCTTCTACCACCCTCACCATTCCTTTTCTGTGAGATCCTATTTAATTAATTAACTAATTGCATGCCCTCTCAGTTTATAATCAAATATTGCTCTTCAGAGCTCTATCATTGGTCCTGTTTTCAAGCTACAAAATTTCTCTAGGAACACCAATCAATTCCTATGGTTTTGGTCACTACCCCTTCTATGATGATGCCCACATGTAAACCCTTAGCCATAAACTATCTGCTGAACTCTAGATCTTATTTCTATGCCTGTCCCCTGGGTAGCTTCTCCACCTATGTGTTACTAAGCCTTCTAAAATCTATTAGATCACTTCTGGGTTCCTTTCTTTGCAGTGACTGCATTTTACATGCAAGTGGAAAGTTAACTGAATATTTGGTAGTCAGAAGGGCAGATTATGGTATTCTTATAATGCTGCTTATTTCTCTCTCTCCTCTTTCTGGATCCATGGTGGAATTGTATACTTGCTTCTTTGAAATTAGGTGCACCATATGACTTTATGTGGCCAGTGAAACACATTGGAGGTGATGTGTGTCACTTTTAGGCAGAAACCTTCAAAACTGGCACACACATAATTTTATTCCCTTCCTCCTGTTATGACAAGTGGCAACACTGCAGAGGAAAGAGGCTCCATCAGCTTCTATCTTTATGTGAAGGTGATGGGAAGCAGATCTCCCACCAACCAAAAATGGACGTACAACATGAATGAGAAATAAACCTCTATTAAGTTAGTCAAGCTTATGAGATTTTGGAGTTGCCATAGAGCCCAGCCCGACCTGATTCAGGATCCAAAAACAAATTCATCAATTTTCCCCTGTACTTTATTAACAGATAAAACAGCATTAAAGCATCTGACCTGCCTTTCCTCCTGTATCCCAGTTTTGTTTGTCTTTGAGCCATCACCATCTCTACCCACTTAACCAGGCTAGAAAACCTAGGAGCATGTCTGGCCTCCACTTTCATGTCCATCTGCATTTTATGATTTGTCTAGTTCTGTAGATTGTATTCCCTAAATATCCCTCAAATACATTCTTTCATGTATGCCCTTAATATACATCTCATTATCTGTTGCCTCAGCTATTGCAGTGATTTTGTGAATGTTCTTGTCTCTATTACCAGTATTCCCTAAATCCATCTTCCATATGGCTTCCAGAGTAATTTTCAAATGCAAATGTTGACCATTACACTCTCCTGCTTCCAATTTTTTATCATCACTTACAGAATAAAGCTGAAATGCTTTGTTGTGGAATACTAGGCTCTTAATAGCCTGTCCTTTCTACCTCTTCAGCCACAACTCTGCTTTAGCAATACCTAACCCTAGAAGCATTGTTCTTTCTCCCCTCATTTCCATCCCCCACCCCTCACATACACTGTACTATTTCTTGACTGATTCTTCTAGAAATTCTAACTTAGGTCTCATTTACTCTAAGAAGGCTTTCATAGTTGTCCCAGACAGACATATCTATTTCTTCCCTCACACCACTTCTCTGAGTAAAATGTGCTTTCCATTTTATCTAGAAAGCACAGTACTTAGTATATTACAGGTACCTCAAAAGATGTTTACAGACTGAAGTGATAGGCCATTTGATCAGATAGCTCAACATCTGTTAAAGGCATGTGTGTGCGTGAGTGTGTATGTGGCACCATTGAAGATATCTCCAATCCACCCCCTTCTCCCTCGTACTCCCAGGCACTGCTCCCCCTAGTTTAAAATTTGTTGAGGACTTACTATAAGTTAGGCACTGTAGCAAGCATTCTATAAGTGTTATTTTATTTTGCCTAACAATAATTCTAGGACAGTGTGCCATGGCACACTGTTGGCTGCAAGAGGCACATTGATGTACCAGAATTTTTAAAACCTGCAGTACCTGCAGTCAGGGACACTGACCTCTTTCCCTTTGGACTGTCAAATTAAAAAATGACAACAGTCAACACACCAATAGCTGTCCTGTGTGAATGAATCAAAGTTATACCTATTTTTGTCAAATCAGCAAAAAATATATTTTTTGGTGTGCTGCAGAGTTTTAGTAACTACTGATATGTGCCATGAGATGAAAAGGGTTGAAAATCACTGTTCTAGGGCACTGAGCCACACATTAAGTACCCATTGTTACTGATTACATTATATGAAGCAAACCTGTCTCACTTTCCTGATGGGCTGTTCTTATAGACCCTTAGGTATTAATTCAATGAAATATTTTCCTATGCAGTAACTGAATGAGTAGCAGAAACATTATAGCTTACATTCAAGTTTTTTTAATCTACAACTTTTCAGAGGAATTCAGCACTATTATTTAAAACATTTTGAAAAATATGGCATTTATACATCATCTTTCTTTTGAAGCATAACACTTTTTTATCATGTTTAATGGACCTCTGTAATAAGTGAGGGGTAGTTTTCTTTTTTTAATGATAACAAGTTTATTTCAGCAGGAAGTTTTAGTAATTCAAAATTTTCAGAACTCAATACAAATGTAAAATACACTTTTAAATTTATAAAACCTCAAAATACATAGAGCACAATTACTAGAACTATATGAGAAGTGGGCACGTGCAATATTCAAATGGAAGACGTGAATACGTAGTGAGGATTAATTTAAACAAGAGAAACTGGGCAGAGAAGCTGACTAACATGTCCCATAGCATAACTTTCCAAGGTTTCATTATCATTCTACACATACTACACCCCCCAAAGACAATTCTCTAATTATCATTGAGTGACAAAATGCCAGCTAGTGACAGAATTGTATAGATGAAACTCAAGACTTATCTTCAGGGGACTAATAAGATGCTGAGGGAAATCACATTATATTATGAAAAGATAATAAATCACATGACTCTAGTCTCTGGCCCTCTGGGCTGGAACATTCAAGGTTTTACAGTTGATGTCTTCTGAATTCTTTTATTACCTTCAAATAATAATAGGCAAATATATGAACCTAGCCTGTTAATGCATTTAAAAGAATAACCCATGTTCCTTTCATAAGGAATCCATTCATTCACCCATCTTGTACTGTGCCAGAAAGAGGAATTAAGGCCACTCCTTTTAATTTATTCAGCATCCCATCTTTTAGAATATGGGGAGCAGAACCAGTTTCATTTCCCATAGGCCAAAAAGCTGTGAGACTTGGGGGGAGTCAAGCAATTACCAGCTACTTGGTCTTTTTGCAGAAATACACAAAACGTGTAGAATCGCTTAATTTTGTCCCCTCCTAACCTCTTCACTTGGAAATTGGTTGCTCGGGCGAATGTTGTTTTTTCCCCCCGCAGCCAAGTGTGAAGATCGATTAACACTTGCTTGACAAACCCCTTCCAGGGCCATTTGGGAGCTGCACGCGTTCACACTGGGTTCGGTCCACTGCGCCTTCACGCGCAGCCTTTTTGTTTATGCGGCTAGCAGGGCAGAGAGGGGCGGAGAGCTAGCCAACCTCTCTAAGTGCGGCAGGCTGCTGAGGCTATATAAACTCAGGGCTCGGGCCTAGTTTGTGAAACGGGTAGGTTTGCGGGCGAGCTGTCAGCGGCCGTCTGCGGAGTCCCGGGCGCCATGGAGACTGCAGAGCGTCCAGATCCCAGAGTGGGCGAGTGCGCGCGCCGCGGCCGCCAGCTGCCCGGGGCCCCCGACTGCCCGACGCAGCTCGCAGGCGCAGACTCCCGGTACTGCGTCCCAGCACCGCCCTGCACCTCTCCTACCCCATCCCTCTCGCCCGCGTTTCCCCAGCTCCTCCTCGCAGCTCTCCACCCTCCACCCCCGCCCCAAACTCCCTCGGGCCCACACTCTGCTGCAATCGGTTCTGCCGAGTCTGGGCTCACGTCTCTTCTGGACACTTTTGCTTCCCACCCCGCAGATCCGCAGGCTTCTGGAGACCTTGGGTTGATGCCCGAGGCGAGCAGGAGGAGGCCCCTCACCAAGCAGAAAAAGGGGTGAGTGAGCGGCGTGCGGCTGGCCGCGCCTCCGAGGGATGCAGGTGGTTCACCAGAACTGGGAACACCCGGCCGGAGGGAGACTCGCGCCCGGCCTGCCCCTTTCTTACGATCACGCCTGCCGGTCGTCCTGTCGGGTGCTGAAGAGGCGAGGGTGCTCTCTTGAACAATTGCGACACAAGGATCGGACCCAGAGCGAGGCTGCGAACACTAGGGTCACATTCCCTGCGGGCGCGAGGAACGCTGGGTCTCGCGGGTTTCCAGTTTCTAGGAAAAGGTGCGTATTAACTGTAATTCATTTCCTTACATCCTCAGATGCCCAATGGTCCCGGAATGACCGAAGCCTCCGGAAAGCCTTCCGGATACAGGCACCCAGTCAGGTGAGTGACAGGCCAAACCGAAGGTCTCTTGCTTCTTCAGTCCCTGGGAAGAGCTGGGGACTTAGCACAGCCCAGTTCAGCAGCAGGTCCTCCAGTTTTTGCATTGGAAAATCTATCTTCAAGGTTACTATATCTTCCCAGTCCCAGAGGTCCTTTATTCATCGAATTGATAAATGTAGGAGCTCAAGCTCTTACCTAGAAAAATTGTTAATTAGTGTATACTCAGCAAAAGTTTAAGGAATACAGTAAAAAGAAGGAAAGTGGATGATACAGTAAAAGTTGAACGTTGACATCTTGTGCCTGCAAAACAATTTTTTTAAATGCTAGAAAGTCTGGATGAAATTGACTTCACACATTGCTCCTTTGCAAACCAGAAGGAAGATTGGTGTTCACAGTTGCAATTTTAGAGCAAATTGAGCTTGCCATGTAAGAGAAAATGGAAAGGCCATGAAAATTCTAAAGTTACTAAGGATTATAAAAATGAACACAAGTTGTTTGGCATATCAATGAGGAGCTAGTTTCCAGTTCTAGTCAAGGAAGTTCGCCTTTCTTGTAGGATTCTTGGTAGCTTTCATTTAGGCAAAAGGATAACGTTGTAGTTTGCCTGCTTGAGAGAGCTGTTAGGTGAAGAGCTGATGTTTGTAAAATGTGTGTGTGTTTCCAAATAGCATTTTGTTTAATTTCCTACATGAGCTAGCACTAGTGAAGGACACAGGAAAAAAGAAGTAATCCCAGCCCTGTGGGAAGTGTTGTAATAGAGTTTAATTTGGTCAGTTTTAGACTCCAGGGCATGAAGTACCTAACTGTCAGAGGGAGTGAGGTCTAAGGAAATTGTGTATTATAGGCTGTGGTCTTGAAGTTAGCTGAATGGATGGTAGATGGGGAGGCAGGGGCAAAAGAAATAGCACAGGGAAAGAATGAACAGGGTCATGGAACGACATGGATCCTCTGGGAGCATCAAGTTGCTGGAATTAGAGTGTGTGAAGCTGTGGACATCATTCCAGCAGAGAAGCCAGAGCCCAGATTTTGTATACCTCGGTACAGAGTTTTGTCCTGATCCTGTAGGTAGTATTGGGGATTACTCAAAGGATTTCAACCAGAGAGTGCTATGGTCAGATTTATGTTTCAGAAAAATCACTAAGGAAATGGTATATAATTATAGTTAAAACACCAAAAGTGAAATTGGAAGTTATTGCAATTGTTCAGGCCAGAATGATAAAGAGCCATTCTAAGTCACTGGGCGTGGGGATGGGATTGGGTGAATTTGGAAAATATGTAGGTGACAAAATAGATTAGGTTTATTAACATATTGGATAGGATAGGTGAAGTAGAGGTAAAAAGACAGAATGGTTTCCAAGTTTATGACTGTTGCAGGTTGAGTGCTGTACTAACAGGTTGGAAATTAGGGCTAAAACAGATGTGGGAGCAAGATAATGAGTCCAATTTTCCATCTATGGTATTTGATGTGCTTGTGAGGCATCCAAGTAGCAATGATCATCAGAGAACTGCACATATGAACCAGGGGCTCGTCATCAGGTTATAAAGCAGAAATACAGACTTGGGGGCTTTTGATAAATGAACACTTGGGGAAATCATGGCAATGGGGCAGGTCATCCTGTGGAGTCAGAGAGGAGAGATGACCGCTTGTGATAAAACCATGGGGGAAGGCCAACCTCTAACCAGTATTCAGAGAAAGAAGGTCCCCAAAGGAGACAGCAGAATCACTCAGAACAGGCCAAATTCAGGAACAGACCGAGTCCCTGGAAGAAAAATAGTGAGAAATTCCGGGGAGAATATGCTAGCAATTAAACAACATTCTTTGGATTTGGCAGTTCCAGTAACACATTAAAAAGTCAATTGTTTTACATATCAGCAATTTTTTCCTTTTCTGAACTACTGTAGCATTTTGTTTTTACTTCTCTTAAGTTACTTTTCTTAATTTCTGTCTTGAGTAGTATTATGTGTTTCTGATATTTTTTACTCAACTTTCAACTTCTTGAGGGTAGGGACCATGGTTTATTCATCTTTGAATTATGAATTATGCCTAGCACAATAAAGCACTAAGGTATTTATTGATTGACTGAGTTATTGATGTTTAACATTTTCACACCAAAATTATAAACTATTTTTACCACTTTGCTAAAATATTATAAATTACATTGCCTTTTAAAATGAAGCCTGCTGAAGATAATGCCCCATCTCTTTGTACATGGGGCTATTTACACGGAAATGACTACACTGTAGTTGGGGATTCGGCCTTATCCTTTTTCTTCTCCTCGGATGAAAAATAATAGAAGACCAGATGGCAAGTTCAATATTTTTCAGAAATTTGAAATTCTGAGGTAAACATGTTTACATGTGAATTATTTTTATGAAACCAGTGTCATTCTCCATATCTCAATATGGTGTCCCCAAATGAAGCTGGGTGGGGAGAGGAGAGGGAGATGGGGTCGAGGTTGGGCTCAGAGGTGCCTTTCTGAACCTCAGGCTGTGAGTGCACAGACAAACTTTTTAAAATGTTGCTTTTTGTACTTTCCTAAACCTATACTGGCTACATCTGCAACTAAGAGTTAAATGTGTGAATTTTAAGTAGGATACTAGGTGATTTCTGCCTTCATGTAAGGGCATGATATTTTGATGTTTTAATGAAGTTGGCTATCATCAGAATTTTTAATGTAGTGGTAGGACTCATTTTCTCCCTATGAAATTTGGAAATTGGAAGACAAGCCTTCTGTTTATTTATTTATTTATTTATAAGTAATGTTTATTGATTTTTTTTAAAGATTTTATTTTATTTTTATTTTTAGAGAGAGAAGGGAGGGAGATGAGAGAGAGAGAGAGAGAGAGAGAGATCAATGTGCGGTTGCTGGGGGTCAAGGCCTGCAACCCAGGTATGTGGCCTGACTGGGAATCGAACCTGTGACACTTTGGTTCGCAGCCCATGCTCAATCCACTGAGCTACGCCAGCCAGGGCTATTTTTTTAAAGAATAAATGTATTTATTGTATAACAACCCAAGTAAGCTAAATATTTATCTTAGGCTTACAGCTTGGATAAAGATTTAAAATAATTGACCAATTATTGATACTTTGGCAAGTAGATTCCTTGAAAGCTGTAATAGTACCATTTTAAAACTATACCTTAAGGCTATGTCTAAATGCATAAATCAATTGTTGGATACATAGAGCTCTTGGAATTTGCACATTTAATGAGTATAAGTATTCTAAATATGAAAAAGATAAAGTGTATTATTTTGTCTGCTTTTTTCAGACTATTTTGGCCAAAATCAAAGTGCTATGATTACTTGTATCAGGAAGCAGAAGCTCTTCTGAAAAATTTTCCAATTCAAGCCACAATTTCGTTTTATGAAGATTCTGATAGTGAAGATGAAATTGAGGAACTGATCTGTGAAAATTAATCTGATTAGTTGTTTTCAATGACGTTAAAAGCTTGTAGGATTTGAATTTAGTGTGCAAATATATCATAATTCTTTAAACTTATTTATTTGTATATAAATTATTAATAAAATGAATATTTTGTCATTATTATGGTAGTTGGGCCTTTTTTATCCCTCCACTATTAGTCAATGTTGGAATTTAAAAGTAGGTAATATTTACAAATGTCTTGATTGTACCATAAGCATTTGGAGCTTACAAAAAATAATTTTAATCCCTTAATCAAATTACAAGTTTATCTTTAGGTACAATTTTGCAAATATTTAGTTATAACTTTGCACAGAATGACAATATTTTCAAACTGAGTCTTGCAACATCTACTATTTCCTATAGATTTCCATTGGATAGTATAGTTACAGATGAATATTATTAGATAAGGAAGAAAATTACATTATGTAACTATCACACCTTGTTATGTCTTTGCTAGCAGATGGTGAAAAGCACTTTAAATCATTGTCTATAATTGAGGATGGGAATCATTATTAGGGCTATTAAATTTTAGGCATTTTTAATGAATGATGAGTCAAGTAATTCTCTCTTTAATACTCTTTTGCTGTCTGTAAGTCCAGTAGTAAAATAACATGAGTGTTCAATATTTGTGGAAGTACATTAAGGAATCTCTAAAATTAAAACAAAATGTTTAAATGGATATGATTTAAACTGAGTGTAAAAAGGGGCAGCCAAAAGGCCAGAATTTTTTCCACTTTCTGTCCAAGGGGGAGCTAAGAAATTTTCCAGATATAAAACATTCAACAACATCACCCTCCTTTGCTCTGGTTCCCTGCTCCTGATATTCTAATGTAAACATTTTCTTATGGGAAGTGGAATAACAAATTCTCAGCGATTAGTTTTTTAAAGTAGATTTATAGAAAACTACATCTTTTAATGGGAGAGAAAATAAGAGCACTTTGCAAGGTAAAGGTAACATAGTAAATTATGGTAGTGAAATTCGTTCAGCTGAAATACATTTTTTCACAGTAAGAATTTCAATTGCAAATAAAGAATGTTCCTATAATATTCTAGAATGATAATGGGCATAGGTGAAAGTCATTGATGGTTACCTATCTAAGAAATGCCTCGTATTTGAATGTCTATTTGTATTCCCACACTTTTCCTTCTAATTGAAAAGATACAACAGACATTAATTTACAGACACTTTAAGGAAAAGGCAATTGAAATAGGGCAAGTTCAAACCATGTTTCAGACTCAGGAAAAATTAGTAATGGAATGAGGCTGGGGAAGAGTTATTTAGAACTATATTTCTGCTGAAACCTTTCTTCTTTCACTGCCTTCTATTCTCAGGATGTGTGCATTCCCCATGGAAAAACTCGCCAGGTCCCCAGTCTGAACCTTGAGCATTAGAGACTGTTGTTTACCTGCACAGTATTTGTGCTTCTCATTGATATGTTGGAATAGTCCGAAGAACCACTGCCATTTATTGCATGCCTGCCATTAACTAGGCAGTGGACTATGTAGTTTATATATGACATATAATTCTTTCTAAAACCTAAATTAACTATTTAGATGAAAAAAATGGGGCTTTGTGATACTAAAGTACTCTTAATTACCGCAGTTGATGGTGGGCTGCATCAGTATACAATATCCTGTATCTTTCAGGGAAAATAGAAAGTTAGGTGAGGAGGAACTTGAGCAGATGAATGGAGCAGAAAAAGACTTTGACTCATAATGTCAGTCATTAGTGAGGGTTCTTAATGATGAAGTTTTCTCTTTACCCCACGCAAGTGGCTGTTTGCATTCGACACTATGGCTTTTCAAGTTTCTCTTTCTCGTACAGCCTGGTGTCTTGAGAGAGTTTCAGAGAAATCAAACTTCCCTAATAGTATTTTTTATTCCATATTTTTAGTTGTGTAATGGTAGTACAGACACTTGTGGGTTAACAGGACTGTACAAGAGTTTATTCTCAGATTAGGTCAGCACCAAGGCTAAGGAACAGCTTCACTCTCTCTTTAATCTCTCCGCGGAATAGCTGTCACCTCCTTGCAGTGCTGAAGTTCTTGGAGCAGAATTTACGGAGCATGCGTACTTCCCCCTGGTTCCGCCTCTTCTCCCCCCCAGGCCCCGCCCTCCGCCGGCTTGACGTGCTGCGTCAAGGCGCGCCTCATCCCGGGCGACCCCGGAAGTGAGCCGGGGGCTTGGCCTCTCCCCGGCCTCCAAGCCGGAGCGGGAGGTGTAACTGAAGAGTGGTCCTGCCGAACGTCGCCCTCCGGTGGCGGACCCCGGGCAGAGCCCGAGCCAGAGGTCCAGGATGCTGAACGTCCCTTCCCAGTCTTTTCCGGCCCCCAGCTCCCAGCAGCGCGCGGCCTCCGGGGGGCGTAGCAAGGTAAGCGGATGACACGGATGGTCTGGTTCAGCACTTGCCTCCCGCCAGCGTTTCGTGTTCCCGCACGTACTCTCCCACCTCCAGTTACCCTCTCTAACCTTCGGTATCTCCTGCCCTAGCTGGTGACGTCTTTCTGATCCCGTGCACTCTCCAGTCCTCGAACTCTCCTAACCTCCCTCACACCTACTAGTGGCTTTTCTTTCGCAGCCCTTGATCCCTGTCTATTACCTCCCTCTAATGCTTTCCCCGCGAACTGAAGTCAGATGTAAATGACAGAGCCAGGTACTGTGCTTGCTGGATTATAGCTACTGAGTATTAGCTTCCTTCCCTCAAACTATCCTCCTCTAAGGTCTTTTGTTCCTCACTTTCCGAAGGAGTTCTGAGTAATGTGGATTCCTTAGCAGGAGGGAAAGGTTGGGCAGTGGTGACAGTGACATTTGACATTTGGCATGGATGGGGACTCCTTGATTTAGGGGAGATCGGAGGAGGGAGAACAAATGTCTGCAACCTCTCGTTCGGATTAGGGAGACTTCTCCAAATCATACTGCCTTTGTTCCTCTGGTACTTCAGTGTTTTGTCACGGCCTTTTCTGATATCACTCGATGACTTTGAAGCTCATGTGCACTTTACTCTTTTTGTTGAACATAGTTACGGTTACGGTGCAACAAGTGGAATACAAATGTATTTTACATTTGCAAAATTTAATAAAAATGTCTCCTTTGTTCATTGCAGCGTGAATTGCTTGCCCCTGTTATTTGTTGGTTCCTCATTCTGTAACTGCATCATGTTTACCACCTGCTTGGACTACTGTTTTCACTTCTGGACTCTTGGGTCTTAGCATCATTTGGGACCTTCACTGAATTTCTTTTTTGTTTTCCTCCACTTAGATCTGGATTTTAACTCTCAGTTATAATTAGGGGTTCAGAGATCTGTAGCTTTCATTAGCTTTTTGTAAGTCTGTACCTCACCTATAAGAATAATACAGCTGAGAAATAAATCTCTGTGCTGTATTCAGTGCTTACTGATGGCCGGGTATGTTCTAAGAGAGATTTTTTTTTATTACTTTAGATGTATTCACTGATTCAGTCTTTATAATGATCCTGTGAAGTGAATGCATTTGTTATCTCTGTTTCACAGACAAGGAAACTGGGAAGGAATATTGCCCTAGATCTTACAGGCTTGATGTGATGGGACTCTGGCTGTGACATTTTACTTATTGCTCTATACATTGTCCAGCCATCTAATCATTTGTCCCCTCCTCCTTGATATTTGACCTGTTTGTTCAGCTAAATATTTGGCTGAATAGTATTTTCTTTCCAGAGAAAGAAGCTATGAGTTAGAATATGTTTCTACCCTTCTCCATTAAAATGACCAATCATATTCTCAGCACCCATTTAAAGGAAAAATTTTGAGGCAAAGACAAAAGATTGAGGTGGTGATAGCAAAGGTGAGTCTTGAGTCCAAAAAGGGAACACAATAAAATTATTGTGCAGTTTGAAGGGAAGCTAAGACTGTTTTTTTCCCCCTTTGTGAAACAAGCTTCTCTTGATCATGTTAGAAGCTGAGTCTGGTTTGTATGATATGGGTGGATTGAGAAATAGAATAGTTGGGGAGGTTGTATATCATAATTGTTAAAAAGCTCAGAGTTTTGAATGAGAAAGACCCAGATTCTTTTCCCAACTCTATCACTTAACCTTTTTGACTGTCAGTTTCCTCAGGTGTAAATGGGAATAACAGTACCCATTTTATAGGATTGTTTATAGGATTAAATGCGATCATGTTTCTCTTAGCACAGTCTTTATATTTGGGAAGTACTCACTAAATGTAACTAAATACCTCTCGTCTTTTACTTAAATATCATGTTTGTTTTGTAAACCCCCTGGCACAGTGCCTGGCTAAAGTGTGCACACAATATATGATAGCCATTGTTATTTCTACTAGTCAATAAATATTTTTTGAGAACCTACCTTATTCTAGAGATACGGTCTCTGGTTTCAAGGAGTTGAGTCTAATAGGCTGCATGGACTAGTAAACAGGCAATTATAAATGCCATAATACTGTAATATGCCTATGAAGGAGTTGGGGTCAGAGAAGGCTTCTGGAGTAAATGATGTCTGGAGGGCTGGAGTAGGGAGTGGGCTAGATTCAGGCATGGAGCAAGTATTTCATAGCAATCAGGAACCTGTTCCCATTTAGCTGAGGCATATAAAATGGGAAGGAGCAAGTTAAAACATGGTGAGGTAAACTATGACCAGTTCTGAAGGGCATACTAGACCACTGTAGGGAATATAGAGATGTTATTATAAGGTAGTGTGAGGAGCCACTGAAAGAGGGAGGGTCTATGATTAGATTTGCATTTTCAAAAGATTACTTTTAACTACTGTGTGGATTGTGGAATCCACATAGACAAGAGAGACAAGTGATTTTGGTTTGGAATGGGAAAGATCATATTCTCACATTTAGTGTATCAGAACTTTATTGGGACCAAGAGACCTAGAAAGTTTCAGTGATGATGAGAATGAGATGATGTAGATTGGTAGGAAGAAATGTAAAATAGGAAAGGCACAATAGACCTGTTCACTTGATTATTTGGAGGGTAAACAAATGCCTAAAATTGGTATGATTCAGGTAAGTGAGGTATATAAAGGTCTTAGTTGGTTCAGGCTGCTATAACAG